AGCATCCCAGGGATCGATGTTGCGCTGGCTGGACGGGGCCTGCGACGCGGCACCCAGAGAGGCAGCGCATTGAACAAAAGCACTGAGGAAGAAAGGAGAAGAACGGAGAAAAGAGATATAAAGAAATATATCGAAACCAATTGCCCTAGCCAACTCAACCTGCCAACCCAACCAACCCAACAAGCCAACCAGCCCGACAGCCACCCGGCCAGCCCGTCAACCAACCATCCAAACCAGCCCCACCGGCACCCAACACGTCAGTCATCCCGCCCAGCCAGCCACCCCGTCACCCCGCCAACCCGCCCACCCCCGCCGCCTGCCCTCCGTTACCGCCGAAAGGGGGGGAAAGTGTTTCTCACCGTCGAAAGAAGCACCTTCCCGGGGTCTGGCAGGACATCGGGGAGAGGGTGAATCGCATTGCTCTGTGCAGGACAGGGCTTCGCGCCACGGGGTCTCCAGGACGGCCTTGGGCTTCAAGCGCGATGCTGTCGCCACCTGTTTGATCTTCACCGCACGCCCTTTCTCAGCAGAAAGGCGCCCATCCTCGAAACTGTCGTCATGTTGACATCCCGTGCGGGGGTTCTCGGAGGACCCCGAGCAAGGGCCAGGGAAACCGAATCGCACAGCAACGTGGGGGGCCGTTCCCTGAAGTGGGCTCTCTCGGGTGGCACTCGACAGCCTAGGAGGCCCCAGGCCCAGGCGCGAGAGTGAGCGAGGGGAAGGAGGAAGCGCAGGAGACATAATGAAAATGAGAATAAAAGTAAGAAGACAGACAATAATGATGATATTATTATGATGATGATGATGAGATGAGATGAGATGAGATGAGATGAGATGAGATGAGATGAGGTGAGATGAGATGAGATGAGAACATCAGCTATCAAGTGATGACGATGATGATGAGATGATGACGATGATGCTGCTGATGATGATTAGGATTATGTTATGATTACGACTATGAAATATAATAGTATTGCGAATAGTAGTAGTAGTAGTAGTAGCAGTAGCAGTTGCAGTTGCAGTTGCAGTAGCAGTAGCAGTAGCAGTAGTAGTAGTCGTAGTCGTAGTAGTAGTAGTAGTAGTTGTAGTAGTAGTGGTGGTAGTAGTAGTAGTAGTAGTAGTAGTAGTAGTAGCAGTAGCAGCAGTAGTAGTAGTAGTAGTAATAGTAATAGTTATAGTAATAGTAGTAGTTGTTGTTGCTGTTGTAGTAATAGTAGTAGTAGTAGCAGCAGCAGCAGCAGCAGTAGTAGTAGTAGTAGTAGTAGTAGTAGTAGTAGTAGTAATAGTAGTAGTAGTAGTAGTAGTAGTAGTAGTAGTACTAGTACTAGTACTAGTAGTAGTAGTACTAGTACTAGTACTAGTAGTAGTAGTAGTAGTAGTAGTAGTAGTGGTAGTAGTGGTAGTAGTAGTAGTAGTAGCAGTAGTAGTAGTAGTAGTAGTGGTGGTAGTAGTAGTAATAGAAGTTGAAGTAGAACGAGAAGTAGAAGTAAAGTAGGAAGTAGAAGCAGAAGTACAAGCAGAAGTAGAAGCAGAAGTAGAAGTAGTCGTAGTAGTAGTAGCAGTAGCAGTGGTAGTAGAGATAAAAAATACGGCTCACCTGATGAGAAGATCATATGAAAATGACAGTGATAGTACGATTAAATTACTCAAGAGTATCTATAAAATTGATTACTGAAGTAGTACTAACGAAAACCATTTTGATACCATGAAGAAGGAGGCGACGACGAGTAATAATAAGAATAATAAAAATAACAATAATACGACTGGGAATAACAATAAGGGACTATGTAATACAATACGAATGATAATAACAGTTCGGATAATAAGAACATCGACAAAGAGTAACAGAGCAAGGACGGGAAGGAGGAGGAGGAGGAGGAAAGGAGGATGAAGGGACAAAGGGGGGGAGGGAGGGAGGGAGGGAAGGACAGAAGGGGGGGCGGAGGAGGGGGAGGAGGACAAGCTAGGTGCGCTCGCGTCATAACTGACGTACTACCCCTGCCTCCAATCCCTTACCATGGCGTAGATATAAGGAAATGCTCGCGAGAGGGTACGCGACGCATTGTAGAGCACGGCATGGCATGGCGCAGAAGAGCACGGCACAGCGTAGCATGGCATAGCATGGCGTGGCGTTGCGCACTGAAGCATTGCATCACAAAGCGGTGCAACGCAAAGCATGGCATCGCACAGCGGCGCACAACACAACACTGCACAGCATGTCATGCCATGGCACCAGGTTCCTTGGAAGGTAAGTGGATCGTCTTCGAAAGGTCTGGGCCGGTCTGGAATCGTGGCTCCATGTCTAGCTCCTTGGGTTCCTCGACAAGCTCCACATAAGGCGGGGCTGATGGAGAGCACCAGCTGGCTCTGATTTCAAAGCAAAACGGAGCTGAGACTTCCTGAGAACGACGACGCCCCAAAGTGGGGGGGCCTTCTGCAGCCCAAAGAATCAACGAATCGACACCGAATGCGGAATCACTTCCGATGTTTTTGTTTCGAACGGGGGACATTTTCTAGATTTTGTGGCCTATTTGGGAGGAAGGCCAGCGCTGCAGCGGGAGCACGATTCGGAACGAGCGGAAGCCCGAAAATGAGGCCATTGTTCCAGCGGGAGCAAAAATTTTAAAATAACAAAAAAAAAAAAAACGAAAAATCACCCCCCGGGAATCCTGTGTACAAAAACAATACGCGGAGGGGGGTCCGGATATCTTCCACACGTCATCAGGGGAGAGAGGAGAGTAGTATTCAGATTGTGTAATTCTGGGGGGGAGGAGGAGGAGGAGGAGGAGGAGGAGGAGGAGGAGGAGGAGCAGGAGCAGGAGCAGGAGCGGGAGCAGGGGGAGATGGAGAGGAGGATGACGACTCGGAGGTAGAGGAAATGAAGGAGGAGGAGGAGGAGGAGAACGAGGCCAATAAGACGGATGAAGAGAGCAGGAAGCAGGAGCGGGAGCAACATCTCAAGGACGAGGAAGGTGAAGAGGCACGACACATCAGCAGAAATATCACAACGTGAGGACGAAGTAGGCGGAAAGAAATCACGACCAAGGGCACTGATTCTGCGACACGGGCAACACCACGGAGATCTGGAGACGGGGTGCGCAGACCGAGCGCCAAGGAATCAGGTCTTCGGATGTTCCCGGCACCTCTTTGACCTTCCGAGGACTCCTGGAGCCTTCCGAAAGCCTCAGGAGTGGATCTCCGAAGGCCTCCTGCCACCTTCGACCTATGGGCCCTAGACCTGCGCTGCGTGCTTTTCAGCCCCAGCGTTTTTCGTTACGTCTTGGCTTTGGGGTGCCGCCTTCGAGCCCACCGGCGAAAAGACGCGAGAGAAGAAAGGCACAGCACGACGATCCAAAGAGTAAGCTGCATTAGATTGGCTTCTATTCCCGCGAGGGGCGTTACAGTGTGTACGTGCATATATAGATACACCTATACGTATATATATATGTGTATGAATAGACATATATAAACATATATATGTATACATATATATATGTATATGTATATATATGTGCATGTGTGTACAAACAAAGAGAAAAGGAAAGAGAGAGAGAGAGAGAGAGAAAAAAAAAATGAGAGAAGGATGGAGAGATAGAGAGAAAGAAAGAGATATCCATAGTTTTACAAAGAGAGAAAGAGAGAGAGAGAGAGAGAGAGAAACAAAAAAAAAGGAGAGAGTGTTCTAAGAGGGACAGAAAAGGACGGACAGCCCGTGAGCGTGACAGAGAGGCTGTGGGAGAAGGGATGGGGTTGAGCAGAAAGAAGAAAAGATAGAAACAAAAGATAGAGAAAGAAAGAGTGCGAGAGAGAGAAAGAGAAAGAGACAACTATCTAGAGAGATTAAGAAAAAAAAAAACTAAAGAAAAAAACTGTGAGAGAGAGGAACAAAGATATGAGAGAGGGACAGAGGGAAAGGGAGAGGGAGACGGAGATGGGGGGGAGAGAGTGAGAGAGAGAGAGAACAAAAAAAAGGAGATAAAGAGAAAAAGAGAGAGAGAGAGGGAGAGAGCGAGAGGGAGTGCGCGGGAGCACCTGCGGGCTGAGAGAAAAGGGAAGAAGAGAGACGGCGGACTCACAAGAGCCAAGTGGGACTATGCGCACTCTCAACCGAAACAGAACACAACACGCTGTCCCAGCCAGGGGCACATGCGAAGACAAGAGAGAAGAGCAGCCATGACATAAAGGCATGAGCCGGAAGGGCTGCCGTGCCTCACGGCCTTGTTGGCCTTCATGTCGACGAGGTCTTCCTGTCGGCGCTATGGCCTTTAGCAAGCCGAGCCCTTCTTTACCCACGACCTCTGTGACCGTCGCACCCTCGGGCTGGCCCGAAGCGATCCGAGTTGTATCCACAACCGGGGCTGGGGGGGGAGGCCAACCGGGTCGCGCACGCGTGCCCCTGGAGCCAACTACTTCCTCCCTCCTCCTCCTCCTCCTCCTCCTCATCATCATCATCATCATCATCATCATGATCACATCATCATCATCATCGCATCAGCATCAGCATCGCATCAGCATCAGCATCATCATCATCATCATCAATCACTCATCATCATCATCATCATCATCATCATCATCATCATCATCTCATGCATCATCATCATCATCATCATCATCATCACCCCATCATCCCATAATCCCCCAAAATCGTCAATTCATCATCGCAGCATCCAGCATCACAAAACCTCCTCCACCCCGTCCTCAGGACGCCGTCCCCCTTATTCCTCCTTCCTCCTACTTCCCCCCCTCGATCCTCCTCCCTCCTCCTCCTCCTCCTCCTCCTCCCTCTCCTCCTCCTCCTCCTCCTCCTCACTCTCCTCTCCTCCTCCTCCTCCTCTCCTCCTCCTCCTCCTCCTCCTCCTCCCCTCCCCGCTCCTCCTCCTCCTCCTCCTCCTACTCCTCCTCCTCGCCTCCTCCCCGCCTCCTCCGTCCGCCTCCTCCTCCTCCTCCTCCTCCTCCTCCTCCTCCTCCTCCATCCTCCTCCCCTCCTCCTCCTCCTCCTC